GCAAGCTTGTAGTCTGTCGATGGCTCTCCATCACACAAACACACACTTCAGCCTGTAGATTTAGAAGCTAACAAGTAGTGTATCATGAACTGGCATAAATGAAATGTATTTCTACAAAAGCAGGTCTCTGTGACACAGTCTGATATCTTGAGAAACTCATTTAACTGTAAAAGTGCTAACGAGGCTTTGAGGCGCTCGGTGACCTGCTGCCTCCACACAGCTGAGGGAGGAAGGTCTGTCTGACCCGGGTTCAGTTCGGGTGTACGAAGGAATCCTCAAGTTCCTGTAAGCCAGTAGGGTCTGTTCATAATTGGAGTGCCCCGCTGATTTGAATGTTCTGGCTACCTTTCACACTTCAAAGGCTAAACCCTGTTTCAGAGTACAAGAGGACGAGAAGAAAACAAGTCTCTCACTTTCATTAAACACAAGGATGATTTATTGAGGAAGAGGAGAGCAGGTTCACTGATGGCAGACCTAAAACACAAGCTCAAATATAACAACCCAACGTGGTACTGAGCACTTAAGATTGTAATCAAAATAAATGATAGGTTTCATGTAATGTGTCGTGGCTCTTTTAAACGGCTGGGGGCGAGCAAGTTAATTTGTCTGAGCTAAACTTTCAAATCCAACCTGACATACAAGCTAGTTTTGAGCACATGATGCATTTTGCTGGAAAAATCATCTAGATTAATATTAGATGGAAAAATAAATCTATATGGTTACAAAATCAGCATTTGTCTTTAAAATAATCCATCTACAAACACTTCTAAAGCTGTAAACACACTATGTTTTGTGTGTTTACTACACCATGTTGTGGTTTTATGGAGAGTTCAGTGCTGGAACTATTTCTTGGTTGGGCGTGGTTGCTTCCTGGAGTCTTGTCATTATCGTGCAAGGCTACAGACTCCGGGAAGTCTTGAGCAGACTATTCACATGGGCATGCATGTGTAGAGTCTGCAAAGATATGTGTAGACTCTCACGAACATGGACAGATGAAGGAATGTATCTTACATCAGGCTGTTCTCGTCCAGCATTCATAGCTATACCTACAAAAAATGATGCACCTTAATCCGTAAATAATGTATAATGACCACAAACGCTCACACAGAGTGGGAGGAAAGGTCCAACAAACTAGGATCCTTCAGCCAGGAGACATCTGTTATATGTGTGAAACAAGAAGTCAATGTTGATTTATCCGTCACGTAACTTGCATACTTCAGTAAAACGTACTTCTGTTTTTAATTAATTAAACGCCGATTTTTTAATCTTATTTAGTAGGTCTGTTGCCTAAACCTAACTAAGTGGTTTCTTATGAAGATGGAAGTTTATTTTGAAAAGACTCTATGCATGTAACACACGGAGATTGACACGTGTTGCTGAGTTTCGTTTGAATACGAAATTCTTTTATACTTTTCATAAGATACGAACCGCTGTATGAGGAAACGTTGGTCACGTGAACCCTCACGAATCTCCACAGCTATGCAGAAAGTGTTATTTGAGCATAAGATCTTTGTAAGCCAATCAGAAACAAAAACTTAATCTGACCCAAGTAAAATACAGCTGATAATCACTGTATAGTTGTGACTGCAGACAACTAAACTGCCCTAATATAAATGGACAGACAGACACAGCAGCCCCACAGCCGTTTAGTACATCCAGGTGGTTCCACCCTGAGGACAACGGCTTCACCACATATTCATGTTCTTCATGTCTTCGGCCTTCAACTCACACATCAGTGTGGTTGACAGCCTGCAGCATGCTGCGACATCGCTCCCTCCTCTCCACACGTTCGCTCGGCTTGTTTTTATCGTCGTCTGAGACACGTCTGGACAGGTCACTCAGTAAACCCAGCCCTTTTCTTCAGATATCAGATGTAACATGAAATAACAATGGGACAGTAAAACAATTCCAATAGAACAGGAATGATTTAGAATCACGAGTATTTCATTTTAAAATGGACTCTGTCTTTGCCGAGGGAGACAAGGTCAGAGATGGCTTCCCCTCAGAGAGACGTCAGCTCTCATTTGAGGGTAAGGTGGTGGAGTGTGTGTGTGTGTGTGTGTGTTGGTAGACACCCCCTGGCATGAATAAAACACGCTGATCTTCATCCAAACCATCAGTCTGACACATTTTCACTCCTCCTTCATCTCTCCTCCTGAACTGAAAATGAAGCCCTGAGTTCACCAACATGTTTGGCCTTGTCGTTGTTACAGGAAGTGAGGAGCGGCGAGGACAGAGTGGGTGAGGAAGTAATGACTGAGTTTATCCGGTCGAAGGCATCGAGGCAGAAATGACTGTCTTACTAATCATTTTGATTTCCTATTTGTCCGAGTTTTTAAATTTTTTTTGTTCTGTTTTTTCATAACCTGGATTTTTGTACTTTTGGACATATTTTCTATTCATTATCTGGTTGGTTATTCTATTGGTTATGTTAATAGTTTCTGAAACAGTTTACACAAGTAGAAGCCCAGCTTGTTTGAATTGTGTAAAAATGAATGGTCACTCATGCCGGTGTTATGTATGATTTTTCTGTTTGTATTGTTGTCGTTCATAAGGCACTTGTTAAAACATAGTTACAAACAGTCATATGTAAAAGGCAACAACACCAACACTACCAACACAACACAAACATTTAGAAGAAAAAGCAGAAAAAATACAAATCTAACAATAAATAACAAATAGAAGACAATCCTATCCATTTGATTTGCAATAATAAATCAATGTAAAGGAGTCCTGAGAAAGAGATTTCAGTTCTCCCAGTAAGTCTTTTCATAGAAGATATTTTGACTTGTTTTAGTGGGAAAAGCACAGGCGTATATATATTGTGCACTATGTTTAACTTCTGCCATTTTATTTGAGTGTTCTGAATGTGAATGTATGCCCTATCATGTGCCCTCAATAAATCCTTCCAATCCTTCATTTAAAAAAAATGATGGTGGGCTGCAGCGACTAACCTGATCAGTGTGGTAGCATCGATGTTCATGTTGCAGCAAGGTGTGCATTTATTAGGCTCCACCCACTGTACCCATAGAGTCCAGTAGAGGGCGGAGCCTGTGGGAGTAAGAATGAAGGTTATGATATTGTTACCCTATAGTTCTAAAAGCACAGGTGGAGCCCTCTACCAAGAGGACCCTTTCGCTCTTACACTGCTTGTTGAAGAGGGTGCAGGATGACAGACAGCAACGTGAGCTGCCTTATATCGCACATTATCGGGTAGGCACGTCCTTATTGGCTGGCCATGCTTTTGAAAAACGTCTGTGGGCGAACGCGTGCTTGTGATTGGAGAACATTAGTTCGCATAGAGCCCAGTAGAGGGCTCCGCCTGTGCTCATAGAACTAGGGTTACAATATTGTTAACTTCGTTAAAGGACACGGTGTATTACTGCCCCTTGTGATTTACCCCTGAGGGAACAGGTACATTTTTTCTTCTTTTCTTTTGTTAGCATTTAGATTTTCATCCAACTAGCAACAACATGTCAGTATACGGCAGTTTTATCGATCCCAGAGAGAGCACGGTATCTATATCTGTCTTCACCAGGACTCTGAGCTGTTCAGCAGAAGCTCTGCTCTGCCTGCTGAGTCACCTGCCTGTTAAACAGCTGGATTCTGGTTGGCAGCAGGCGTCACGCAGGCAGACGGAGGAATGCGCAGCAGCAGCTCCAGACATGTCAAGTTACAGACAACCTTCATAGGCCAGAGAGGATTATGTGTAGTGTGTTGATTATGCTGTAGGAGTGTTTGGACATTATTTGATGGAAGTACATCAGCAATGAGTACATCAGCTGCTAAGTGAGTTGACTAGTTTGAAATTCTAGATTTTTTTATGTTATGTTGTTTACTAATTATCAGGCAGTCAAGGCTGAGCATTCTGTCCTTGACTGCCTGATATGATATGAATGATGTGAGCATAACTCAGCAGTTATGAGTCTGACAGACACTGGTAAACGTTTGGTACAAAGACATAATATTTTTAGAAAGGATGAATCATTCTAAAAGACAGCATTGTGTTGCAATTTCTTTTTTTAAATCTGAAACTCCTGCAGTTGCATACATGTTGTAACTGTCCCTGTCAAGAAAGCAAATCTAGCAAAATCGCTCTCCACTCCAATTCTTGTGCCAGATTCAAAGTCTGGATGACACTCCGACAGGAGACAACCTGTCCCAGAACTGACAGAGAAAACAGGCTTTAAAGTAAACAAATGAGTGGATGTGTTTATTCACTGTGCAGAGAGAGCAAACAAGGACCTCTAGTGGCAGAAAGGGTTGTTGTACTTTACTTAATTTCTGTCCTGGAACAATTAAGTCAACAGCTCCATCTTCTGGTACATTGGTGAATTACTGACAGCTGATATAAATATATGTACAGTTACAGTAAGGTAACTGTACTTTACTCCAATATTCTACTACATTTGACTGCTTAGTATGATTTTTGTACTTAACACAATAACCATAAAATGCATTTTCTTGAATAAACAACACAGCAGTATAAGAAAGCTCCACCTCTCAACCAGCTGCAACATTAAACCGGCACTTTTGATATATATATATATATATATGAATTCCTAGTTTATATAAAATCCAAGAATACCCAAAGAACACAGGACTTTACACATGTTAAAGTTTTTTTCTTTTACAGTATCTTGTAATGCTCCTGGACTATTTTTACATTAATTATGGATCTCATCATCTGTGGGATGTAGGAATTAGGTAGGTATTAAAATCACATTGTTTAATTTTCAGTTTCTTCCATCTCACCATTGTTTTACTTTAACTTTAACAATGAAAAAGTACCAGAGAGAAAAATATGCACTTGTCATAATTATTATTTTTTCCAACCAATGCAATAAATTGTAGTCCTTAAATCACATGTTGTTGAGTAGAGAGACTCACACTGTTTATTATACAGTTTACAGAGAGCAAGACATTTAGGGATTTTGAGTTAATGAAAAACTTTGTAGCGCAGATTTAATTTCAGTCACTTCACAGTCTATGTTGGCCTCTCAGGAGCCAGGCTGCAGAGTAACAATACATTTTACTGCTTTTCTAAACCATGGGTAAAACAATGCATAGACCAAAGGGTTCAGACATGAGTTAAAATAGAACAGATAGAGCACAAAGGACACATATGAATTACTAAGCATGCTGTCACCTACAAGGGAGACGGTGTAATATGGGAGGAAACAAATTAGAAACAAAACTACAACAATGCCAAGAGTCCTGGCTGCTTTCAGCTCCGATTTCTTTGTTTTTGGACCCCCTGAAAGCTGGTGTGTGACGACTGTAACGTGAGAGCGCATGGCACGAGCCTGAGACACAGCCACGGCAAACACTCTCATATACAGAACTACGATGACAGTAACCGGAAGAATACACGTCAAAACGAGGTCAACAGCCCCTGTGATGTAGTCAATGAAAATCACACACTCTCCGTGGCAGGAATTATCCCTGCCTGGTTGAGTCAGGCCATCCCTTACACACACACCGCTGTAGGAAACAGAACAGAGCCAACACATGCAGACACAGAGTCGGACTCTTTTCACTGTGACTCTGGTGGTGTAACGAAGAGGGTCACAGATAGACGCATAGCGGTCCATTGATATGAGCACCATGTTGCCTACTGAGGCAGAGGTAATGATGAAGGACACATAATTAAACAGAGAACACGCGAGGTCACCGAGAAACCAGCAGGATATTTTGAGGAGGGTTTCTGCCGGCAACAGCAGGAGGCCCACGATCAAGTCTGAGACAGCCAGAGAGAGGATGAGGATGTTGGTGGGTGTGTGGAGCTGCCTGGTGGCAAAGAGAAAAGCATCATTAAACCAACCAGCCCTCACATCTGAATAGCAAAACAACTATGAGAAAAAAACACATCTAGTTACCATGTGGTTAAGTGTGGAGAGTTCAAAATCACATTTCAGTTATATATTGCAAAAATAGTAAGACAGAATCCAAATCTAATGTGCAAAGGTGCAGCATTATTCAGCTATTCTACCTACTGAAAGATAATTCTTCTCCTATCTATAGTAGCTGTTCACCGTTTATAATCCTTCATACCAATAACACTTTTTCTGAGCAGGCAGTTTGACTCGTCACAGTAGGAAAAGCACAGGTAAAGCAATTGAAACTTTACAGTCATTGTTGAAAGAAATGAAGGAATGTTGGTGACAGTAGCTCGCTCAGTCTTTATAAAACTTAAATTATAGACTCTGCTGAGAATTTAAACTTTGCCTGAAGTGGGAGACTGAGATGATGACGAGCAGGTTGAGAGCTACAGTGAGCGTAGAGATGGACATCAAAAAGAGAGGGAGCAAAGCATGGTGCCAAAGCACAGTGGGCTTCCTGCAGGAGGTGTTGAGCAGCTGTGGAAAGCAGAGCTCCGATCCTTCCTCAGCCTCCATCTACAGATAGCTGCAGCTGTCTGAACAAACCTGAGTCATATAACAGAGTTACCTCTCTCACATTCTCTTAATCCCTCCCCATCGCTTTCTGTCAGTCTCTGTTGGACTCTGACGCGCCTCCTCAGTGGACTGCACAACAGAACATCATCTTCATCACTTTCCGTGCGATTGTCCCGGCAGAATATTCTTGATTGTAATGTGTGTTTTGCATGCTATAGTTGCTGTACTGTTTGATTTTGATGTTTGTTTTCTATGTGTATGTATCGGTTGCTGTGCTAAGTCATTTTTGAATATTTGGCTTTCATTGGAAGAGTCTTCCTGTAACCGCAAGGTCGGCGGTCCGATCCCCGGCTCCTATTGTCTGCATGTCGAAGTGAGACACTGAACCCTTTGCTCCCCGGTCGCTTCGCAGTCCACTGCTCCTAAAACACTTATGATGGGTTAAATGCAAACGTCAATTTAATGTATGTGTATGACGAGTGTAATGAAATGAAACTCTACATTAAAAAGTCTAAACACATGCATCCGCTGGCTCGCAACTGAACTGGGTAAAGCCATGTCCTAACCCTGGAGGGGTCAAAACACAAGCAGTAGACACCTTGCCCACCACATTTCACGGTCCATCAAGCAGCACAGGAACATGTAGTAGCAGTTGTTTCTATTCTCTCCCTTTTGCAGTGTTTGGTGTATAGAGGGCTTTCCCATGCCACTGTTAAAGTGTGTACAGCAGTCATTTCTTACTGCCACGAGGATTTTTACAACAGACCGGTCGTTGGTCACCCTGAAACAGTTCTTGGACTGGGTCAGGAGATAGCGCCGGGTGATGCGTGCTTCTTCCCCGCAAAGGGAAGTGCCATTGGTGCTTAAGGCCTCGGGGAAAGGTGCCTTTGAGCCGGGAGCCATGAGCGCGTCTCTCTGAAGGCGTTTTCATTCAACACAACTTTGCTGCCTGTACTGACCTCAGCTAATAGAGTGTGTGAACTAATCGCACCATGGGTCCACCCCAGTTGCTTGTTGTTGGTGATGGTAGCGGGGTCTACATTCAGACCAAATCCCTTCTTTGATGCCAAGATCTTAATAAGTTCTTTCATGTCGAGGGTTACGCTTTTTGTCTTCCACCCAGTGTGGGTGACAGGGAGGCAAAGTTACATCTGCTTTGCCAACAAACACCTGGCGTGATGGCTTTGTGAGTGCATATAAAGAAACCGGTGCAGGTGGGAAGACACACTCCCATCGTGGTCTGCGCATTCTCAGGGTAGTTTCGGCGGCCTTGTTCAGTGAGGTCAAGGACATATTTACAGCAGCGTCATAGTCAATGCCTTGTCCGTTCATATGATTCGATGTCTTGGACATGTCGGTCTTCTTTTCAGGGTCTGTGTTCGCTGGAACGATACAAGACTGGTGAAAATGGTGGTTGTATTGCACCGAAGCCTGTGTGTATAGAACTAGGGTTACAATATCGTAACCCTCAGGTGTTCACTGTTGAACAGGGCCACAAAAACAGAAAGCAGCCTCACAAAATTTCTTATGGGACACTTTCTAAAAGAAAGGCAGTGAGAGATCAAAGAGTTCGTCCTGGGACATAAAATAAAAGGCCGTCATAGATATATGAAGGCCCCTCTTACATTACACATGGGAATTGCATCCATTGTTATTATAAAAAAACAAAAAACTAAAAGTCATAAAAGACACAATCTCAACTGAAAAAAAAATAAAACATCGCTGTTCAATAATAGTAGCATCATGTGTTGATGCTGATGCTTGTTTTTCTCAACACCTCTGATTGCAGTGACACCTCAGAGGTTGAGATGTCATCATCTGACTAATCAATACAGGTGTGAACAAGCTTCCTGTCTTTAGGGTTTCGACACACTGCCACTAAGAGCAACTAATGGGCTGCAATATGTTGCTCACAGAGAGACAATTAAATCTCATGGGACCTAACTAAGTAAACGGAGATTTACTCAAACAAACACCGATCGAGAGAGGTGAGTTTTTGCTCTTTTTTTTTAAGATCTGCTCATGTCGGCTGGCACGGAGACAAAATAAACCACAATTATTGCAGTAAATAAACATAGGATTTAATAAAAGTCTGATAAATTAAAATGTCCAGAGGTTGTATACGTCTTCTGCCACTACAGTTCATCAGTGTTACTCTGAGAAACGCCATTTAGACAGCCCACACACAAACACCAGCAGACATTTTAAAATGGTTTTGCACAGAAGTGTTTTGTGGCTTGAGGTAAAGAATCACTCTCATGACAATTTAATTTCCACAGGAAACATGAAATATTTAAGATTGATTCAGACATTGTGAGTTTGTATTCCCTGATCATAGAAATGAAGATATCGTTATGCACTTAGAGGGGATGAGTAAAGAAATGCTTCAGGTATTTAATGTGAAACTGTGGCAGACGTAATGCAGCTGAATCATAAAGGTTGGTGCTGATGTTGTCGCTTCATGGATGCGTCTGGACGTTCTTTTTCCGTGATTGGATCCGTGCACATTTTGGACACTTCTTTTCCACAAAACAGTGTTTGTGAAAGCACGCCCTGCACACTGTAAAAAGAGAAGCAGATTTATCATTTCTGCCCTGTTGTGTCACCGTTTCCCCCTTTTATTCCAAAACTGTGAATATAACAGAAGACAAAGCAATTTGATACTGTTTTTAAGCCATTTCTTTAAATTTAAACGCATTTTTTTATCCAGTCCTGGCATAAAACACTGATATATCACCTTTTCAGTTGATATGGTGAAGTTGTCATCATTAAGATATATTATATATTCAGTGTCTTTTATTTGCCTCCATTTTACATCACCAGCTTTTTTATCATGCATAAGCCATTTATTTCCAAAGTAATCATGTGGCAGTGCTTACCTGGACATCGCCTGCATATGTCGGCCTGAAAAGGAAAGATGATGTCTCTTTCTCTGCAGAACTCACAGATAAAACCTCGGGCCAGACACAACTGTGTGAAGAAAGGAGAATTGTTAAAAATTCACTGTGAGTGCGAAGAGTTTTCCTCCTCAAAAACAAATATGTGCTGATCTTGGACTGTTTTTGCAATGAGGCTCATTTGCGTAGAAAGGGGCCAATCATACAAAATAAAATAGGAGTAGAACAGACATTACTATTCAAATCAATGTATAAGTGCTCTATGTTGCCATTGTGACCATTGTTGAAAGCTAACTTTCGTATAAACTAAACCGACTTAAGGCAAGTTGCGGACTCACTGAGATGAGGTTTTGCAGTAATAACTGAAACAAGCAGTGGAGTAGTGGCATAACCAAGCGCAGAGAGACAGAATTAATGAGTATAATTTAACAACTTGATGCTTCATCCACACATTCTTGTCACAGCGTAGGAAAGCACATTGCTATCGCTAGCTAGCCAGCTGGCTAACTAGCAGACAGCTGGCTAGCTAGCTAGCTTGCCAATTTTGACATGGCGATTTTAATGTAAATCCGGATTGGTTCGTGGAAATAAATGACATCATTGTTTTTTTTCTAACTGAATCCTGAACACTTCCAAATCCAATAAGAAAAACAGAAATAAGTTTAAGAAATCTTGTAAATCTTCAATGTCAGACCATACCAAGACGAAGAAAATAGGTTTTCAATGCCTTTTAATGTCAAAGTGAAAACACATCTGTCCAAAGCCATCTAAATGAATTACAGATATAAAAAGCAAACTACTTGTTTGCACTTCTGCTCGAGCTCTGCGAGATTGCCTTTTGGAAGTCTTACCATAAATTCTGGATTGAGCCCCATTCAGACTGGATTCATTTCATGAGAGAGGTGGGGGTATTTGAATGTTATCTTCTCTGGTCAGGGATTTTAATCCCATCCAGAGCGCTACAGTATCTGGGTCATTTTTTATCCCACAGGGGAAGAGCTGCTTTTATTTGTGTTTATCAGCTCATAACATGAGGGTAACATATAGGTGCATTTGGGAACCAATATAATGACAAAAAAATATTAAAACCATCGGGAGAGCTTTCTCCTGCTGAATGTCCACATCTATTACACACCATATCCTCTTACGCAGTCACACAGTCAGTATTTGATTCCCCGCCTCCTCCTGTAATGTTAATCCCAAAATTCGGAGACCAGGACGTTATCACTGCTGTTTTTAAGCCAGTCCTGTGTTGTTTGGGCTTTGTCCGGATAAAAACCTTGGCCCACATTTGTGCCAGTGATGATAAATCATCGGCAGACCTTCAGTATCTCATAACATGAAGATTGAGGACCAATAATAACGTGCTGCGTCAGAAATATACTGTATGTATATTCTATAGATTTAAAGAGAAATGATGCCACCTCTCACAGCGCCTCGGACTGACCTCACAGTTTTCAACGTGATCGATGGCAGAGTGCAGCACCGCTCTGGCCTGCGCCACAAGCTGACCCTTCTTCACCCTCAAGAGGTCATCCATGGAGAAGAGGTGCGGCTGCTCCATCAGGTGAGCAGGAAGCTGTTCAAACTCAGCCATCACTCTGACACAGAAGCACACAGAAAACACACTAAAACTGCTTCCTCTTGATGGAGAATATCTTGTTTGTGGGCTTCTGGTTGAGTATTTCTGTCATGTTGGAGAGTCTGTCTGCAGTCCTTTCTGCCATAACAGGTCAACACGGACAAAACATTACCAGACTCCATGAAATACATCTAGAAAACCAATGCTGAGCTCACAGGTAAAACTCTGCTATACCTGGTCTCCAAATAGGTCACCTGAGTATTATTCTCCCTTATTATTCTACATCTGCTGTTGTACTTTTAATGATTTTCTTAACTATTTCTATGTGTTGAAGTGTGTAACTCAGATGTGTTTCTTCTTCTTTATGACTACTCATCACCCCTACATCCCATTGTTTCTTGATCGTTGTCTGACTGGACTGTGCACGAATTACATTTTGTTTGTACTCTGTACCTGCACAAATGGCAATTCAAGTTATCTAATTCAACTTAATGTGATATATTTTGACTGTATTGACTGTATCTTCATAATTGTTAAACAAATACAGTATCAAAGTAATATTTAAGTATATAGTAAATATTCTGTCTACCTTCCAGATAGTCTGCAGGCTGACAGCAGCTTCTTGATGCACATCAGCTGTTCCTGGAGCTCCTGAAGGAGACCGGAAGAGAGGGAGGAAGAGGGGGAGGAAGGAAGGAAATAAAGAAGGAACAAAGGAAAGTCAATGTAAATAACGAAATAAAGTTGAAATTCATCTTAGCTGGTGCGTTATTTGTGTTGGATCTGCTTAAAAGAGAAATCAAGAATATTTTACTGGCTCTTTGCCGGTGATGGACGAAGTATTCTGATCTTGTACTTAAGTAAAACCAACAATGTAAAAATACCTCATTACAAGTACTGCATTAAATTCCTACAGTGCTTCAGTAAAAGTGTCAAATAAAACTGCAATACAATGACTCCTGTGACATTATTATTTTGTTACCAAGGTGGAGCTAGTTTTAACTTTGGAAATACTAAAGTAGTAACTTGGTAGTAACTGAGCTTATTTATCTAAACCAGGCTACGGTTTTATCCAGGTCTCTGTGAACAGGAGGTGAGGTCAAATAATAACAGTCATAATAATAATGACAATACTAATAATAATTCGGTCTTTAACTCACCCTGAACTTGTCCAGCTCTTTCGCTCTGCTGTAGAGTGTCTTACCGACGCAGCTCAGGTCAAACAGAGGCTGATGCCAAACTGAATTCAGCAGCTGTTTGGAGAAATCACTCACAGGGTATCTGCAATATCAATATTATTATGACTGATTATTATTAAGAATCAAAATGTACATGTTCTTTCTCCCACTGAGGTAAATAGTCCAGTAATTTGTCCTCAGTTTTTTTGAATCAAGTTGTATGAATGAAAAGGCTTTGATTGGATTGATAGTAATATTCACTCGTCTTAGAATTGAAGCTGTATTAATATTTACTTATTAATGTTTTTTACTATAATTACGATATTGTGAATAAAAGTATTAGTCAGTTGCATTAATACTAGTCGTAGCAGGAGTTTTATGAGTGGTTTTACTACCTGCTAAAGTCCCAGCAGGACAGAAGTCGACCAGGAATCACAGCTTCAGAGCCGCCGTGGCAGCAGTCACAGAAATACCTGAAAATGAATCTGAATTATTAAATAATCCAACCACAGCAATTTGATTCATTTTTGTTAGAGACCATAATCATTTCACACTAGAGAAGTACCACCTCTTTGGTCCACAGTATGTGATTACCATTATATTTTGTGCTGGTACTACGTACCTGCCAAGATATTCACAATACCGCAGTTTCTTGATGTACCCTGGTAGCAGAGAGAAGGAGAGTCAGAACACAGACATGCTTTTCATCAGCTCATACTTCTGATGAATATGTTCAAGTTACTGTGTAAAGACATTAAAAACAAGCTGAGGCCTCTTTGTGTCCACATGCTTTTAGTTTAGCACAAACATTGTGAGATAATGTAATATGTGTTGTAATATTTGGACAATTTCACCCCAGAAAAATGTAAACGGGTCAAAAATATACAGATATACTGTTCTGTGTGTAGGATATTCAATCTCTGAATTCATTGCCTCCTAGTGGTCATATTAAAGAAGAAAACTCCAGTGCACACTGATACAAGAACTGTACATTTTCTATTTTAGTTTCTTTCTGGCTGAACTTCACAGTTTTCACACCCCTGAAACTGAAGCTGAATGGATTCTGTGAACTGTGAATACTCACTAGGCTCCACCTCTGTCCCACAGCCTGCACACAGGAAGTGCTGCAGAGCCAAAACGTCACTGCGTCTGGAGGAGGAAACGGTCAACTGTGAATGTCCACATCCATCCATCCATCCATCCATCCAACCATCCATCCATATTGTTTCTATTTCTTTGTATTTGTATTCAGTGTGTTCGACTCTCATAAGACGTAATAACTACCTGTTGGTCGGCTGAACAGTGAAGATGATCTGGAAGCGCGGTGGGGCCCAGCTCAGGCATCCTCTCATCCTGGTCCTCAGTTTGATCTCCTCTGCCAGGCTGCCGCTGCTCACCGCCACACCTCCAGTACCTGGCAACTGGCAAAAAGAGAGAGAAGAGACGAGAAAGATCAATATTGGCTCTCATGGTTTGGGACTATAGAGACAAAGGATAGCCAGAAAGCAAAGGTAGAAAATATTACGTTTTGCTTGTTGAAATGCATGTTTTTGTTTAACTGTCTGTATTGATTGGCACATCGGTCACTGTTATGTATTCTCACTTCCTGTAGCGAGCTATTGAGGCTTAGCCGTCCACGTCGATGCTCATGGGAAGGAAGCCAGCTCCTCCTGAACTCCAGCACCAACTGCTGGGCCAGCCACTCTGCACTGCATCATGGGACACCACAGATTGACACAGGACTGACAGAATCTGAACACAAGTATAGATGTAGACAGTCACATAGTCATTTGGGTGTTTTTTCTTACTTTCTGAGAGACTCTCTCGATGTCAGCGTAGTGTCAACTCCACAGTCTGAAATTAAAACACATAAATTCAGGAATGTTGTAATAATATGTGACATACAGTGAGTTATAATGCATCCCCTAATATGACAATGTTAATATGGTCACACTTTTAACAGCTGTACAAAAGTGCTGGTAATACTGTCTAATGACTTAAAGGTGCAATGAGCAAAATTGTGCTGGTTGCTTACAAGTTACTGAGGATGTAAAAATCTGTGGTGGAAGAAGTACTCCGATCTTTTAAGTAAAACTAGTAAGACCCAACTGTATAGGTACTCTGTTACAAGTAGAAGTGATGTATTCAACATCGTTAAGTACAAAAGTACTAGCTTTAAAATTGTTAATTGACTAAAAGATTATAGTCAATATGCGGGATGGCTCATGTAGGAATAATAAACATTATATTATTGGATGATGATTATTTATGTTTTAATGGGTTCATCAGTTCAATGTTGCAGCTGATAAAGTTGGAGTTAAAAATGCTATAACAAAAATAAGAATAAAACATGCTATTAAAAATAAAGATAAGAACTTTTTCTTTTTAAGTCACACATTACATATACATGTTTTACTCCTGTCACTCTTCCGTATACTGTTCATGTATGACATTCACAGTTAGAGTAATTCTACCTTCAAAGCCACTGTCAGAGGAGAGGATGGAGAAAGACTTTGGTGAATGTTCAGCCTCGTGATTCGCTGCTTCCTCCTCTTCTTCATCCCGTGTGTGTTGGTGTGTGTGTACATAAGAGGGGTGTGTGTTTCTATGTGATGTCTTGTCAGTGTGCGGTTGAGGATCACCGGTATGTGTGTGTCTGCTTGCTTTACATCTCTGTTTGTGTCCATGTGGCGGTATGTCCTCCGCCGGGCTCGTGTGTCTCTGTGTGCACGTGTTGCAGTGCGAGTGTTGGTGTGTGTCCATCGTGGAAGTCCATCGATCGGAGCTCAGGGTCCATTTGACACCCTCCAGCACCTCCAGTATCATGTCCACCACAATGAAATGAGCATTCTCCTGCACACACAGTCATTCATAGAGACACTGGTGAAACAGCACTGTCATCATTATTGACATACTGACAGTGTATCATCCATCCAGAGGCAGATGAGATGGTCATTTATGGAGAGAGATTAAGAGATGAAAGTCTGACAGCAAACATGAATCTTTCCCATGCCAAAATATTCATCTGTGTTAAAAATTAACAAATGAATTTCCCCATAATTTGACACTGTGATACAGGGTTATCATTTTAATCAGATTTTAAATTGTTTCATCTATAATGTACCAAAAGTACTAAATAACTGTAACTGTACAGTTCTGGGATCTAACGCACCTTTTCCAGATCACATCTGGTCTTAAAGATGTCTGCAGAGAATTCTGGGATACCACTGCGTCTTCTCTCTTTGCTGTGCTGTGTTGAGGTAGAGAGGCCTGACAAAACAAATACACACGCAAAAAGAGTACTTCAACTTCAGCTTCATTTAATAGTTAAATCAATATTCAATCAAATTCAGTTCTGTAATGTATAATGGTACGAATGAAGATTCCAGTGGGATGACCATGACCCTCTGTGTATGTTGAGCTTGTAAAAAATAAGAGGGGAAAAGTACACAGACAGATGGCTCAGGTGAGACTTCACCAGAGCCATGAAGTACTTTTTTATCAATGAAACTGGAAACTTTGCACAAACATTTATGTTCCCAGAGGATGAATTATACTGACTTCAGTGATCACCTGACTTTTTCCTCTAGCATCACCATGAAGGTGACATCTTAACCTTTTTATTGAAATGTCTAAACAAGTATTGGATGGATTGCGGTGCAATTTAGTTCACACGTTCATGGTCCCTAGCGGATGAATTTGAACTTTGATCCCCGGCCATTTAGTTTGCCTAATACTTTAGTTTGTGACCGTATACCTGCAAAACGGTGCTAGCAACAACGTGCTAGCTATGAGAGCATGTTAGCATCCTCATTTTGTTTCTAATAGAGCAACATGGCATCTTGTTAAACCACATAAGTACTTAATATACAGTAGTTTCCACAGCTGTCTTCTCCCAGCAAACAGATCTAACATGACCGTGTTCACATTAATGTTGGCTAAGTGGAGCCAGATGAGTTAAAACAAGCCAGACGAAGTTGAACTCCTTGGTTCGGCCTCTGGTCGATCCAACACTTTGACTGGAAAATGACTTTGGGACAACAGGGTTAGTGTGGCAGCACCACATTACCACTGTCATCTTTTTGATGTTATTATTTTCATGTTGACAAAAACATGATGCCATACAGTGCTTCCTGTGGCAATCATTTTTTCCCTTGTATTAGAAACAACATGCTGCTCAAACGCATGATGTTAGCTGTTTTATTGGTTTCAGACTATCAAACTGATCTTAATCAGATCATAACCAGAGGTGGGAGGGTTGGGAAATAGCAGGTGGACTCTGTGCATATAAACACAGCCATTACAGGCTCTGTAGATACACCTGTAATGATTAAATCTCTTCTACCTGACGAGTGAGAGGCGTCACAGCTGGTTAGCCACCGCCCCCTGTCCTCCTCAGCCGATCCCTGCTGTCCTCTGAAAGGACGGTGCACCCAAGGGCCGAGGAGTCGGTTCAGATGCGATGAGGCAGAGACGGAGAGCGGCTTCTTGTCCTTCTGAAGAGGTGACGGGTGGGGACAGGAGCTCGGTTTGAATCCTAGATCCACAATGCTGGTGACAGTTGGGCACCCACTCTGATCCAGAGACAACGAACCAGAAGCGGGAGACCGGGAGTCCAAGCTAGAAGAAGTCATGTTTCTGTCAAAACAACAAAAAACACAGGATGGCCACATGACAAATCATAATATAGACTTCCACATATTCAAAAAGACATTACATTTCTATGAAAGAAATGTCCTATTATGTTGGATTTCTCTAAAGCCTGCCAAGACAAAAAGTCAACTCAACATGTAATCATCAGAAAATCAAAACAAAACAAATCAGAGTCAAACGTCAACAGATTCAAACAGTTGACTAAGTAGGTGCAGATGAAACAATCAACAATAAATTATTTATTCCCCATAAAACACAAAGAACACAAAAAACACATTAAAGCTGCTCTCCAGGAATACCTTTAATATCTGCCTGCCTACATTACACCGACTAAACTTAACTGCTGTTAAAATGTAATGATGTACTGAGAATGTCTACACCACGTCTGTCCATTGACTTGTTTCCTGAGAATGCAGATCAGGGTGTTTATAGGTAGACTACAGTTTACGAGGAAACAGGAATTGAAACGGTAAATAAAGAGACTGTTTTTGTTTTGTTGATATAATAATATTAATATTTCACAGTGAGGATTTTACCACTAAATGTAAAAAGGAAGGCACAAAAAAAAAAGGATTCTTTGTTGAACAGCAAACTGTCATCCAATTCAATTTCTGTTGCGCTCAGTGTTGAAGTCATTTTAAGGAAGCCCCTGATTGTTATGTTTTTGGGGAAAACAGAAAGTGCAAATAGATGCACATGTACAGCATTGAGATAATAATACTTGACGAGCGAAAACCCTGTTTTTTATGTTTTCAGTTACCTTGATGGGTCAGACATGCCGGTGTCCTCTCCATGCCAGGAGAAGTTCCTGTGGCGTCTGGAGATGACCGGACTGCTCCTGGGAAGGAAGAATGTTGTGTTCTCCAGCTCCTCTTTGTTCCCCTTTCGTCCTTCCTCACCATCATCATCCTCGCCAGAGTGTGGGTTCGACTGGGATGGGTGGGAACGTGTGAAGGCCTTGAGACGTGTCCCCTTTGTGAACGTTGCCTCTGGGCGTTGATGGGAAAATGTTGCGTTTGTTTCTCCTCCACTGGTCTCTGGTGGTGACAGGAGGAGAAGTGGGACTGATTCTGAACCAGCCGGCTGATGGTTTTGGTGTAAAGATCCTTTCTGAGCGACTTATAAAGAGAAAGAGGAGACAGACGTGCATTTTATCAATACAGATTTCAGATGCATATAGACTGTCATTGCTATTTATTTTATTTGAGAGTGCAGTGGATCTTACCTGTTGTAGTTGCAGGTGTTGGTGACGTTGCGGAGTTCACACACCAGCTGATATATCTGGATCTGTGGAGGGACGAGGACATGCCCTCGCAGCTTCCCATCTGCACGGGAGAGGAGAGACAAAGTTTCCCAATGAATGCAGCTTTGGTGGAAACTTCCTGGTGCGACATTGCTTCCTGAGTGATGAGAAAACAGCTACCAGCTGTGGCAGTGAGTAAAGATTTTCATCGACTCAAATAATCCAAAATTACCCAAACACTTACATCTTCACTGATGATAGCTAACGACATTCATGACTTTCGAAACTGTCGTCTTTTTTTTGTCTGTTTGGAGACGTGAGCAGGAAGTTGTATCAGTGCTGCTGCGGTTCCTGCTGGTCGGTCATAGATTCTGATCAGGATCATAAAACAACTTGAAGGCTCTCGAAAGTCAAAGTCTCAAGTCCAAACATTACTGCCCTCAGCTACACCGAACACAATAGAAGAGATCAGACAGGATGTGTTTGTGGACACTATGAAGGTACTTCAGACAGGAATTGTGGAGAATATTCACACACTGAAAAACTTTTTTTCATTTGGGAGTACACGGCGTGTAGAAATTTTGGCAATCACACCTTTTCAAATCCATCCCAGTGTGGAGCAACACACAATCACAGACATTAGTCAGAAAATGTGACATCACACAGGATCTGCACTTGTGCAACTAAGCATTGTGGAGAAAATGTATATTTCTTTTAGCTCAAACAAGTGGCTACAATATCAGTATTTGCTCCTGCCATTAATAGAATTTTCACAAATTCCAAAATGTGAGTGCTCTTCCTTGCGCTTCTGATATTACAGGAAATTGTATGAAAAAGTATGTGATAGCCAAACCTCCTCTGATAGGTCGATGCAGAGCTGGGGGACCCTGATTGTAAACTTCTGTTTTTTGCTTTTTAACCTCAACCTTGGAACAACTTTCTGCTGATTTCAGGCGGCGCTCTTTAAAGATTTACAGTAAAACTCCTTCTAAAACATAACGCAGAGATGATAACATTGGGGGTGCACGCACTGTCCTGTCAGAGGACATCTGATAGCAGCAGTCCAAACTGAATCTTGGTTTTATCAACTTAAAGAAGTAATTTCGCAGAACATGAAATTTGTCACGGTTGTTGCATTTCATTGATTCATTTTACCTTCATGTATATTTGGTTTTATTTAACAAATATAAAATGTGGCATGTGTTAACTATTAACAACAGTACTTTCAGATATACTCATATATACACATTCAGACATACACAGTCATATAACCCCCACCACCCACACACACCCACACACACACACCCCAGCCCCCTCCCACCCCTACATGAGAACATGATCGATTGGCTTTTTAAAATTGAATTTGAACATTTCAAACTTGAAAATGTTTCCAGTCAGTATACACACTCACTCACAGTGTCACACCTTCATAAACATCAGCTGGTTTCACAAGATAAAGTACAAACAGTCGGGTGTGAAACAGTGAAGATGCAGCCTTCAACCAAAGTAACAAACCAGTCAATAAATGAACAGATCGGATGGATTGCCGTGACGTTTGGTACACAAATCAATTCAACCAAAAACATTTGGCTCTCCAACTCACAGTTATTGTTACTCACGGTTATCCAACTGATCCTTCGCTTATTTTATTTTAATCCTTTAATTATTCATTGGAGATTCAGCCCTCTACTTTTAACAATGCGAAATAACAATAATGTCCTTTAAAAAATGTAATGTATTAGTCTCGGATCGTAAGAGAAGAAAGGAAAAACACTGTAATTTTCAGAATTTCAATTTCCAAATAAAAATGGAAAACCCGAATAGGACTATGGACTGAGAACAGTGGTAGTGTTTTGGTCTTTATTCTTTACCCCAAAGCCACCAGTTTTATTCAGTGTTTTCAAAGACTAAAACTGGGTTTAACATGTTATCAGTCTCACTTCAAGAGGCTGATTCGCTTAAAGCTTCCTGTGTGGGTGCAGACTTTGATTGTGAGTACCAACATGTTTCCCATTTCACTAAAGCGAAGGGCATTGGACAAGAGGCCGAAGCAACACTGACCAAGACACAAGTACAAACATCTAAAAACCGCACAAATAAACCAGGCTACTCACCATTTTGTAATCTCCCAGAATGAAGCAGCGAACTGTCAGAGGCCAAAGGGACTGAATCGAGTCTTGAAAGGAAGCGAGGCGGTTGGTTATCGACACTTCCTGTATTTAACAGTGGTTTGTACTTTCTGCGGGTGAGCAGGCAGCAGTATTTCTTCTATAAACATATAGATGCAAAAGAGCTCTTGTTATACTGGATGACAATGAGCTTTCCTCAAGTAATTAAACCCCAAAAAAGATCATAAATGTCCTAGAACGTGGAGGTTTTGTTAGAAATATAATGTCACTGGCAATGTTTATGCCTCCTCTTTAATCTGGAACTTTTTTTAAAGACAAGCAGTTGAATCATTCTGCAATAAACCATGTTTTTATTTTAGAAATTTGTTACATAACTTTTGATTGTTGATTTCCTTCTGTGGAGAGAAGTGTAATTTTGCTGAAGAACATAAAAACATAAAAGTAAAGAAAAATAGAATCAGATAATATTGGTGTTGCATAAATGTACTCGATAGAAAATGATGACAGCAAACCACACAGAATGCCGCAGCAAAAGTTCCATGTTCAAAGGTTATAATGTTGCATCTTCCTCAATCTAACAATAACCACATTAGAAACCACTCAGACGATTTAATCAGCAGAAATATCAAAGCGTCTCAGCTCAGCGGAATGATGTTTGTCACAACAGCTGGCAGCTGGTAGAGAGAAAGAGGAAGTTTTACTCAGAGTCGAAGTATCCATTGGTTTGATTTGATTCAGAAAAACATTGAAGCAGCGCAGCTTCAAACTTTCTGAGAGGAGACATGTCCAGGCACAAAACAATGGAATTAACCTTTAATGTTGTTTTTTTATCTCCGCCAGGAGACAATGAGATTGTTGTGCGTGTGTGTGTCTGTCCACGGCTAATCTAGCATAACTAAACTGCATAATAGTTTGGGTGCTCATTCATGGCTGCATGCAGAAGGACCTCTCATGGTTGCAGTGACTCACTTTCTCTAAACACCATTTATTGCCAGTTTGATACCGTCATTGACTGCTGGCTGACTCCTGACTAACCACTCTTAAACGGCCCCCGGTCGGTATGGGGCCACTTGTGATACAACAGCTGATTGCATCTCCGAATCCCAGCCACTGGCACGGTTGGCTCATTTTTATTTTGGTCAATGTGTTTAGCTATCATCGAACAGTTCGCAGAACTAGCACACAAACAGCTGGTTGCATTGCTGCTGTTCAGCTGCTGCTCTGCAACAGTTATTCCGAGCCTTTTTATCCGGCATCAACCTCATGTTTACACTTGTATTGTCAAAAAAAAAAAGGCCTATATAAACACGTCAAGTCGCGGTTCACCTCTGAGACGGAGCTGAAAATGCAAGCCTGCACAGAGCTGAAGCAGACATCTGCATAGATTAGTAGGAGAGGATCTGTTGTGTGAGACATCTGATACACTTGTGGTCTAGACGGGGGATTAGCCAATTGTGGGTTGTATTCATTCAATCAAACATTACAGCAGTGGTCGCGGTGGACACACCTTTCTAGTTTTGTTTTAACAGACAAGGAGTCAGGAAACTCAGGGCCCAAAGACATCTTGGACCGTGCCTGTATGTACTTTTAATGTAAGTGTACCGTGTCCAGTCTTCACATTTTCAAAGGGCAGTTTGAGGGATGAGATGTGGTTAGGGGTTACATTTAGAATAAAGGTTACCATTAGGTGGAGTCTGTGACGAACTGTACATTATGTCAATAAAAGTCCTCACAAGTAGGCTATGCAATTACAATCCTGTGTTGGCACGCATACTGTAATCAGTGATTCACACTGTTTATCTGCTGATGCAAGCCTGTTATGTAATCAGGTGACTCAGCACTCCCGCTCCCCAGTGGAGCTCTCTCACTATCAAACATGCACGCACACACACACGCACACACACACACACACACACACACACACACACACACACACACACAGTTCTCATCTAACTCTGGGAAAGAAATTGAATAGGTATATTCCCAAAATGTCAAACTATTCCTTTAATGCATTACAGAACAGTTGTTCCTGATCTGGTAGGATAGTTCAGGAGGTTTGAATCAGGGTCCTCTGGTTGAAGGAATAAAATCTATAGCAGCCTAAACCTATGATACAGAGATACATACAATTACTGATAATGACATCTCTCAAATGTTTTAACAGCCAACATTAAGCGATGGATGTCTACCTAAAGCAGTCTTTGTGGGTGTATGTGTCCCTAACAGGAACAGGATTATTACGGTCACCTACAGTATCACTCAGGTATGAATCAACACTCTGGTAAAAGCTTCTGTAAAACCTGAAATTATACTCAAATGCAGCATGCAATGATTCTGTGCAGCAGATGTCGCTGTTTAGTTGCGTTTCCTCTGCTGTTTTAATCCCCCTGCTGCTTCCAAGCTAAACATTCCAGTGCGCAGCCGCAGTGAGTGAGCTGTATCAAGTCCAAGAAATGCAAGAGTGAAAACGGAAACGTAGAGAATAAAATATGTCATGAAACTGACATTAATGGAAATTAAAATCCACCATTCCTTTTAAGTCAACCAGTTCAAAGGGTAAAATAAAATTCAGGCCGTATTTCTAAAACTGTAATTATTAGAGGATAAAAATGAATTAAAAAACATGCTAATTATGCCAAATGTTTTAATGCATTTTTTTCACACTGTATTTACAGCCATTATTATTATTATTATTATTATTATTGTTATTCACAGACAGTTTGCGTTTGATTTCATCGTGGTATGGCGCTGGACTGGGAGATATCTTATTTTGAAATATTACAACCGGATGTCGCGCTGCGGCTGTGTGTTCGAAGCTTCACGCACCGCGCAGACAGAGAGGCGGACGCGGCGGCTTACAATCGAGGAGGAAACGCGGCACGGCTCGGCACGCCTGAAGAAGTCGGTGTACCGCTGTTTGTCCCGACCGTTAGCTAGCCGTTGCACGCTTCTACCTCGCTCTCGGATATAACCGACATACGCACGCACGCACACACCCGGAGAACCGCGGAGAGGTGGAGCATTATGGCGACGTTGGGACCGGAGTCGGCTCGTCCTCCTCCTCACTCCCCGTCGATCCAGTCGCACATCGGCAGCGCTAACCTGCCTCCTAACCGGGGCTTGGAGCGGGCGCTAGAGGAGGCGGCGGCCAGCGGCGCCCTCAACCTCAGCTCCAGAAAACTAAAGGAGTTCCCCCGGACAGCCGCCAACCACGACCTGACGGACACGGTGGACGCAGGTATGCACCTCTCCGTGGTGTTAGATAGCTACGACACCGGTGCTGGGGCGGTAACGACTCTCTGTGCAGCAGCGTGGTCCTCCCTGACCCTTGACCTGTAGGCATAGTGCTGGAATGTCCTTTAGTCGTCCACAATCACAACAGCGTGTTTATATATTGGGCCACAACGGGGAGTCGAACTCGCAACCCTGGTGGTGTGTTAGCGCGGTCATCGCGTCTGTGTTGCAGGATATGTGTGTATTTAACCTTAAATGAGGCTCTCTATACATCCCGGGTGCACGGCTGGATGTGGACTCGTTGGGTACCTGTATCCTGCAGACAGGATGTTGGTGATTCAGGCTTTCAGGGAAAAGCTGCCTAAGTTTCCATCTTAAACGTCTGCAGGATCTGACTGTTCAGTGGGCCTTTTGTGGAATTCCCCACCACTTCCTTTTTAATCCGTTTACAGTTGTAAACAGGCATGGAGAGCACAGACACACTCTGCTTTATTTACAAGAGCAGAGCTCACATATCTGTTTTTTAGTTAAATGTTTTTTAATCGCAGTTACTAGTGAAAGACAATGGTGGAAGTAACGGAGTATATTTACTCAAATACTGTACTGAAGTACAGTGTTTGAGTTACTTGTACTGTACTTCAGTATTTCCATTTTATGCTGTACTTTATACTTCTACACTACAATTCAGCTGCTACATTGATTTGACAGCTTTCCAGATTTAGATTAATTATATAAAATATGTATTGTTAGCGGTACTAAAAAAAGCCATGAACACATGAATGCATCAATAATTATAATCCAGTAATATGATGTATTTTATTCTGAAATGGGACATTTTGCATAATTAATACTTTTACTTTTGGTACTTTATACATATTTTGATGCCGATACTTTTTTATTTTTACATGTGATGGACTCCTCTTTGTAACAGAGTAAAATGACACTGTGGTAACAATGAGTACTTCCTCCATCACAGAGGAATGGCTTGTTTTTGTATGTATTTTGTATATATTTTTGGTTTCTATGCTAAAGAGAGGCTGGTGTTGGCCATACACAGTGAGCTGTGCCAATATGGTCAAATATATTTAGAGTAAATCCACCAATAGTCTGCTGAAGCACATACAACTGCACCAACTTATTCTCCTTTTCCATGAAAGCAATTCTACCCGTGAGGTTTAAACAGATGCTGCTTCTCACGCTGTACTGTGTCAAGATGGGAAACCATAACTCGGTACTGATGCGTCTCTTTTTGCAGTGTTTTGATCATAACGTGGTATTTTCGTGTATTTAAGATGGTAGCAGTGACGTGCTAACGGTAGTTTTCAGTACGTGCTGCAGCATTATGTGGATCTATATGAGGGGGGGGTAGTTGAGCTGATTTGCTTTAATGTGCAATGACATAGATGCAGGCCGGTCACATGACGTCAGCAGAGGTGTCACACTTTACAGGGTCATTACCTTCCAATGTGTGGTATCTATACATGCAGACAGTTGTGGTTGAAGTTCTGCTGCTCTGCTAATAGGATGGAGGTAAACGGAATTGAGTTTGTGCTCCTCAAGGCTTCAAAAACGACCTCTTTGTGAACCGATTAACTGGTATTTATGAAAGATTAAAATTAATTAATGACAGTTTTGTGGATTATCCAATGTAACAGGGACACTGTTAAGATAAGATAACGCTATTTATCCCGAGGGAAATTGTTGAGCAGCATTTGCATTACAAAGTACGAAAAAAAGGAATTGCAAACAACCAAAATGTAAACATTAGAGATTTACAAGCGTCATAAAGCTGAAGTAAAACTGAAACCATCACATTTCTGTGTGAAGTCAAGTTCAGCCGGGTTACCGTCGGACTGGAAAGTCACAGTGACGTTATGTTGCTCTAACTTTGTTTATGTGCACTAAAAAAGAAATGTGGCTTGCATAACCGCAGTGGGTCACGTCTACAGAAGCGCACACACACACACACACACACACACACACACACACACACACACACACAGCATGAAGTAAAGTGAGTGGGGCTATGGAGGCTGTGCGGTTCAGTTGAACTGCTTTACAGCACACTGGATCCGGGTTTACTTGGATCCGGATGCAGGCTTTCTGTTTCATCCAGCATCGTACTTGAGTGCTGCCTTGCCCAACGGCGTGCACGATCACGCCACTTCCATAGTGTTTTGCCTGTAATGTAATTTTGCCAGTTGTGGTAGGTTTTTGGGGGATTATTCTACTTTTGTCTAGTTCTGTTGGTGTTTGGATGGAAGATTCATTTCTTGCAGTAGCTTGTCCACTTTCAAAATATGACGAATTGAATCTCCTGTTTGTCTCCCGCTACCCATCATGCCTTGTGTTATGGGGGATATTTTCTGTAGTTGGTTTAGATTTCATATTCACACATTCGCCTTCAAACACCATCTCATTTGTCTCGTCAGGAGACCCGTAGTTTGATTTCCTGAGAGTTTGTGGCGCTTGTTCAGGTGCTGAGTCAGATAGCATTTGTTCAGATTTAATATGAGGCTGAATAAAAGTTTTTCACCAGCAAAAGCCACTGCTAATTATTCTGTGTTTAGTTTATGCAATATGTCAATCAAGGTGCTGCGTGTGGGCCCACAAATTGTTGGAGGAGGGATGTAAATGTTTGCAAACGGCTGCTGAAATGGATTTGTAGTTACTGACCGAACGTTGGAGGCATTGCCAGGAAGGCAGAGGACTTGGTTCTAAATCGTCTGTCACTTTTTGGTTTGTCAGTAAAGTGTAAGACATCAGACAGGCGCCTGACTCGGGCCAAACCTGTTTGATCACAGAGCTTCTTGTGGAGCTGAGAAAATGCGAAATGTATTAATAGGTTTTTCTTCTGCGTCTCCATCTCCAGTCAGTCACGGGGTGCATCTGAACCAGCTCAGCACTGTTTCTGAATGAGCAGCGGGAGCAGCTGTGCATGTCTACATCATCGATGTAGTAGCTCTCTGAATTAAAAACATGCAGCGATGCAGAAGTGTGCCGCCCTGAGGGAGATTTAGGTTGTTGTAAATGTGACCTACAGACTTATTCAAGCGCTTCAGTTTTAATATTCGACAAATCGACTGAAGAACTACCGACGATCTGTGAAGAGTGAACGTCGTTAATTAACGACAACATGATCTTTATCTGTTAAATCATTGACATGCTGGTCTGATGGTAGTAATCAGTGTCTGCTGGTTCATCAGTGTGTGGAAGATGGAGTCGTCTCTGATCACACGAGAGCTGTGATCGACCCCCACGAAATGAATATAGATGAGAAAGAACGGAGTGAGTCACTGTGACACACACACACACACACACACGCGCACACACACGTTTTACAAAAATCTACACCAGAGCAGTTTGTCCGAAGCACCGCATGCATGCACATGTACTTAAAATGCAAGCACACAGACACACACTGTGGTTCAGCCTAGTTTCATATCAGCAGCCACACAAGTCTCAACTTGTAGTGAAACACACGCTGGAGCTGGTTTCCTTCAACGTCTCCCTGTAACTACAGGTTGGGGTTCTGCTGGAAAAGAAAGAACTAATGTGTGGGACGTGCTGTCTGACCACGTATGAAAGGCAAAATGTTTAAAACCACCGTGAACGTCCGCACTCGGACGTGTAGAGAAAATCCGACCGTCGTAGCGAGTGGGGGAGCCGTGATGTCGTGTAGACATGTGGATAACGTGACGCGTATTCAGACCGTCTCTCCTGGAGGACGTTCATGCTGCTGCACTCGGTTGTTCATGTGAAAAGTGACGAGAGGAGTTCAAACCTTTCAGGGTTCAACATTATGTTTGTTCGCCCACGTCCTGTGATGCCCCCCAACTAACCTCCTGTTGGCCGAATAATTGAAATGCTCACTTGCACTTCAGCTTATAAACTTTGTCTTTGCCCGCCGCCAGGTCCCGATCGGTACTGTGCATGTGTAACTTGTAAATTGCTGCCAACTTTCTCACCTCTGCACAGCCGGCCAATCACAACGTGGGTGCAAATGTCTGAATTGTTGATCTCGGAATCATTCTTTAGTTTAGTTCTGAGCTGCAGGACACTTTTACTTTCCTTTCCTCTTCTACTGATACTGCTGTTTGGAGGTGGAAGAACGAAACAGGAACACGCTGACCGACTCTATTCTACTGTATTCTACTACAAATGACTGTGTGTGTGTGTCCGATAGCAGCCCACGTTCCCAGCTCCAGACAATGCCCATTTTTGCAGTGTTTGGCAGTTTTTCAGTGGACACACACACAGTACATTAGTAAGGGTCATATTAACAGAAACAACATCCCCTGTACGTGTGTGTGTGTGTGTGTTTGACCACGCAGAGAGATTACACAAAATTTCATGTTAGTGATTCACGTTATAACCATCGGCAGGATTTTTTTTTTAATCTGACCGACATCATTCTCTTCTCACTTCAGTCACACAAATCCAGATAAAAATAGATCTGCTCTAAATTTTTAGACCAGAATCTGCTTCTGAAACAAATGTTTTATTTTCATCCTCGCACTCACTGTTACGTCACTGTTATCTCTATTTTCTGTCTTATCGTTTTATACGTGAAATGTCTGATAATCCGAAGTTAACTTGTCGATCAGTAGAGCTGTGAATCTTCATTTACTTCACGACTTGATTCGATTACGATTCACCTGTTAACGATTCTCAATGCATCTCAATATGGGTGGGAATCACCATAAGTCCCACACTCTCCAGTGTCTTTTTATTTTCCAAAGAGAAATAACTTATTTTTTGTGATGTCGGGACTTTTAAAATATGCAGTAAGATGTGAATAAAGCATGTTTTTAATGTGTGTGGATGGATGCATGATGATTGCCTAAGGCAGGATTCACCGCCCAGAGTTTACCACCCTCACTTCCTCTACCTCACGGCTCTTCCTTCCATTTCATCTGCGCACACACACACACACACACACAGAGGAAGCTGTGGACTCCCAGGAATGTGGTGTGGTGTTGGGTTAGAGGAGGGTCCATCCGC